CTTTTGATCAAAAGCTTTAGGCCTACCCTTTGTCGTGTAGATCAGTCCTCAGCATGAGTCGTCACCAGGATGTCCAGGGCAGGGCTGGACCAACCTATTGGCCCCGTCCGGCGAAGGGTGGACGGCTGTCGACAGTTTCTTGGCCTTGGTCCTGCACGGTCCTGGACAATTGGATCTTGACTCCCGAGTTTCGGCACCAAAAATGTTGGGTTTTAATCCAGAGAAATGTGAGTTTAAAAGATTAAGAGGACAAAATGATCAAACATAGACAGGGATTTGGAAACGTCAACCTCTGCACAGGGGAGAGACAAGCACTAGTGCTTGTTTCTAGCCAGCACACAATGTTTCTCCACTTTCTGCTGAATCTTCGTCAGTGGCACAACTCTTAACTTTTCATCCCAATCTTCCTTCTCAATCCACTTTCTGGCAAACTCTGGATCACCACCACAACACGTCACCATCCATCTAACATTACCTGGCACTTCCTTCTTAATACTTCCCTGCCCCATCCTTTTAACAATTGTTTAAAAATGCTATTTTCTGCAGTTTTTAAAAATATTTTTATGTGTACACTTTGGAGTCCCAGACTCCGCACACGCAGGCCCTAGGTTAGACTCCTCGCACGCACCGGATACCCAGTTACAGATCTGTCAAAGAAACTTGGTTTTGTCAAATATCCCTGCTGCGGGAGCTCCAAACCTTACTATCTCGAGAACAACACAGTCCCAGACTCAAACGCACAGAATACCCAGATCCCAGATCTGTCAACGAGACTTTGTCTCGTCAGATATTCTTGCGGTTACAGCTGTAACTTAAATGGTCCCAGACCAACTTTTGATCAAAAGATTTAGACCTACCCTTTGCTGCGCAGATCAGTCCTCTGGGAGTCATCACCAGGATGCTCAGGGCAGGGCTGGACCAACCTATTCGCCCCGTCCGGCAAAGGGGGGACGGCTGTGGACAGATTCTTGTCCTTGGTCCCACACGGTCCTGGACAAGTGGATCTTGACTCCTGGGTTTCGGAACCAAAAATGTTAATGAGTCCACACAGGAAAGAGATTTTCAGCAGCTCCTGCAGGAGGGGAGAGAGCCACAACCCAACTCTCCAACTGTCTCTCACGGACCCCCCCCTCCCCTGCAGAGCCTTTTTATTAGCAGATCATAACACATGGCGTGGGTTACAAAATAGAGTATTCTTCTGACAAGACAATTGATCAGTTCATAAGACAGAATGCTCCTCTGACTGAATCACAAGACAGAGTGCTCCTCTGATTGAATCACAAGACAGAGTGAAGCATCGCGTTTTATATGCACACACATTAACTTCATAATCATCACTTGATAAACCTAACAAGCAGGAAGAGAGAAACAGAAACTTCCTGCTGCTGCATAGACTGAGGCTCTTTACCCACAGAAACTAGAGCAAGCAAAATAAGTCACTTTATTCATTCTAGAAAATGTAAACCAGGTCAGGTTTATCAGCTTCCCTGAGAAACATCTGGAATAACTGAACTGATAGTTGATCAATTTTCATCAGAAAATGATAAGACATATTTCTTTAATTCCTGTCTTATTTTTCTCTCCTTCAGATCTGCTCTTAAACAAAGAGAAGAGGAAATAAAATCCCTCAAACAGAGGTACTCAGGATCTCACTCAGCTATAAACCCAAGCTTTAGCTTTTATATTAGTCTGGTCAGATGTTAACTCTATGTCAATAACTAACAGCTGCCTGGAAGATTCATTCACTTTATTCATATAGAGCCAATTTACAACACGTCATCAAAGGACTTTATAGAGTCAATTCAACCAGATCATGCAGTCAGATCAGTAATAAAGGTTTCTGTCTATGGAAAACCTGCTAATTGCATTTACTCATTGACTTGTTTTCTGAATTCAAGGCTTCAGGAAGCTTCAGATTTAAGGTCCGGCTCCCAGCAATGTAAACAAGGATGTGAACACAAAGAAAGGTCTGTTTTATGGATCTATCATAGAAATACCAACAATGACCAGAAAACTGATGATTTTTATAACTTTGATTTTTGGTGATGAGACACTATTTAGAGATTCCTTATTTTTATACAGTTTGACT